AGAAATCCAAGACATGCAGCATTGCAGAAAACTAACTAGAATTTGTATGGGATGCTGCCATCTTGACAACATGCTGATGAGAAAATATAGCAACACCACTCTTATTTAAAAATACAAAACCCTGGTGGGTTGCAACACAGCAGTAAAGGCAGTTAATCAGGCTACAGGCCTAAAAACCTGCACAGATGGAATGCCAAAATTGATGTTTTAATTGGTGTTTTTCACATTGACTACTGTGTTTCCTAACTGCCTTCCCCTGGCAGTCACTTCAGAAAGAATTAATAGCAACAGCTACTTGCTTGTGCTGTACTCCTTTGTTTAACACAAGACACAGAAAAAACAGAAGTGCCAGCACGTATTGCTGACGTGGGGTATCAAGCAATGAGCCACTTCAGGAGTGGAAGAACCTTTCTCTGTAGTTCTTGCAGGACTTTCCAGAACCCTGGTGTTCAGGGTGCACAGTCACTTGTGCAAGCACATTGGAAATCAAGATCTGTCTGCCTCTACAGCCATTTAATTCTCTATCCCTTTCTCTTTCCAGCCTCTGCATCTGCAGCCATTGACAAATCGTGTCCTGGTTTTTTCTCATTAGTGAGCTACCGCACTTGGCTACCCCATCCTGGCCTCATTCATGCACATCACTGTGACTGATGGCAGCAGGGACAATCAGTAAGAGTTAAGCCCATAGGGCTTTTCCTTTTCAGATCAAAGCACTTCGCACAACATGTTCCAGCAAAGAGGAAAGAGCAGACTTTGGAGTGTATCAAAATTGGCAGCAACTTTTTATTAGCCAGAAGGTAAAGCAACTGCATTGTATTGGGATTATTTTTTCTTTTAAGAAAGGAACATTTTAGTTTATATAGTAAATCTGCTTTCAAAGTTTTGTTAAAAATGCAAGGATTGTTCTAAAGCATGCTACTGGAATGCATTTATTATGATTCCTTCCTGTTATGACAGATAAAAAGTCACTTTTTAACAACATGCTGCTGAAGGGGTTTCAGTGACGTCTCAGCAATGGGAGAAGGAAGCATATGTTTTGATTTAAAATGCTGAGGAAAAGAAACTTTTTACCTGCTTTCTTAAAGACTTCTTGGATGGTCAGTGCTCAGGAGAGAAGAAGGGGAGTCAGTTACCACAAAAAAGCCTAGCACAGTGTGGGGTGAACTTAGGTGGCCTACGAATACCCCTTGCAATCGTTTGAGGGCTCCCAGTTCTGCTATAAAACTACTCCCCAGTTGACCCATCCCCATTTTGCTGGGCACACATACATGCTTCAGTTTAAGTTCAGAAAATAAATACAAGCGAGCAACATCAGGTTGAGCCACTAGAAATAAACAGTTTAAATACCAGGGAGAGGAGTGTTGTCTCACTCTGTAGCAGAAGCAGTCACTCCTTTTTAATGATTCATGAGTGTCTGGTCGTTTTCCATTCAAGGTGTAGGAACACTGCAATGGATTTAAATCTGTCAGCAAGTTTCCTTTCTCTCATCACTTTTCACAGACCCCTTCAAAGCAGTCCAAACACACACAGGGGCTCACAGAGGAACTGTCGTGTACACAGAAAAGGAAACATGAAATGGAATCAGAAAGCTTGCAGGAAAAAGAACAAACAGAACAAACAGGCCTGAATCATCTGCCAGATAGCACATCTCATGTCACTCCCACACGCAAAGTCTGAGTTTCTTCCAGGACAGCAGGCAGGGTGAGGATCACGAGAGCACCCCACAGCCAGTAAATATCACTGCCAAGCTCTATCCTGCACTGAGAAAGTGGCTTGGGAAGAATATCCCCTGGGGATAGGAAATGACATGGTGGTCTCTTCTCCTTTGGAAGTGTAACAATACCAGCATTCACACTACAACCCCCTACAGGATCCGCAACCAATCCAGTGAAGCAGTTACATGTGTCATCCTCACATTCTCCTCCTCTGTGACTAAATGGTTTTGTTTATGCACATGGAGTCTTAACACTCAACATCAAAGCTAATGAAGAGAAGCAGGACTGTCACAGGGAACAGGCCCTGCAGGACAGGCATGCTCACAGCCTCCAGCATCCCTCCCATGCTCAGGCAAGAGCAACAGAACAATTCTTGGGACCAGCCATCATGATCTCAGAGGACTTGGCTAAAATAATGGTTTGATGACACAAAAGAGACCTGCTCACACTACCACCTCAAACACAGGATCGCCCTGTGACATGCAGAAATGATCCAGCATAAACTCAGGCTACAGATTCCAATTTGTTCAGAAATGTTGCAAGCTTCACACTGGGTAAAGAATCATTTCTTCACTAACCGCTAGCAAAAAATCCCACTAGTCAGAGCATTTTCCTCCTGTCCCGTCTAGGTTCACAAGCAGTGCGAGTACCATCCTGTTTCTGGCAAGACAGTACTAAACTTGCAAACTCCTCACCTGGACAATCTGAAAGCTACAGCCTGGGGCTGGGGATTCCTTAATTGCTTCCCTAACTGCTTCCCCTACAGCCACTTACTAAATTACATGAATACAAGAACCACAAAGTTTTAATAGCCACCATCATACAGCACGTAATTCAGTCTCCAAGTCACCATTCCTACCCATATCATCAAGTATTTCAGATGACAATTTCTCACACTTTCTTGAGGACCAAGGAAAATATGCATCACCAATGTCATACCAATGTGTTTACTGTACCAGACACAGCCAAAAGGTTTTCACCTCACACATGCAACTGTCCTTCAGAAGACTGAAATTACAGGGTTCCTTAATCCTAGCTTCTCATCTGCATGGGCCGTAGGTTAACAAGCAGGAAATCTGTTGAGCTCCATTCCTGACATTTAACATCTTCTGTTGGAGGAGAGACTACAAACTGTCAGCAGTTTGTAGCTCCTTGGCCCTCACATCTGCATTTCAGCTCTAAGTTTAAGCCTTTAACCACATTCTCAGCCTAAATATAGAAAAGCGTTTGCTCCATTTATTGACATACCATATGTATGCATATCCAATGATGTTTTGTAGAAATAAGAGCTGCTAATTCAGCATAGCTAAGGACACCTTCCTAGAGCAAGGAGGACACCATACAAATGCGAACACAATCCTGAACAGTACAAATCAGGACACCACCCAAGCCAACTTCCAGGAAACAGCAAGGACTCCATCTAGCATAAGAGCTTTCAGGCACTCAGGTGGGCCTCCACACTAGGCTAGCTCTTTGTCATAAGAGCCAGTAAGCCACTCCACCAGGCCACCCTGGAGGTTCAGGCACTCTCTTGAAAGACAGAAAGTCAGCTCAAAAGCATTTGCTCCAGATTGTGTAAAGTCAGGTCTATTTATCTCAGCACTCTCTAATAAAAGGTTATTACACCTGAGGGGGTAGAACTGCTCTCCCACACATACCACCTTCTCCTTTGTCCAAGATCTTGCATAACCCAAGAGCTCTCAGTTGATTCAGTGATATCTGAACAAGATGCTTCAGATCCCTGATACATGGATATTAAATAAAGGGGGCCGAATTGCTACACAAGATCACAATCTTTGTGGCTATGACACTGCATTCTTATATCATGTAACTATGCACATAGTAGAAACTACTTCACATTTTATTCTTGTCAAGACAGCTCCTGCCAGAATTAGGACTTTTAACCAAAACTGACAATATCACTCCTGACACTTCACAGTTTTTGTCCAAAGAGATCTTTTCCAAGGCAGAAGGTTCTTTACTTACAATGAATCACCAAAACCAAGACCCTGGAGCTGAAGCAATGGCTCTGTACTAATGCACTCAACACTCTGTCCTTAAGGAGGTGCTTCCAAAAAGAAGGAATATGAAAATTCATGTGACATTCTACAGCACGAGAAAGACTCGTGGCCTCTGGGACACGCAATAAGGACAATGCTGCAATTTTAAGTGGACATGAGCAGCAAGTTCTGCTTCACTGCTGAACACCTGATGTTCTCTAAAGAAGTTACATCTCAACAATGCCTTCTAGAGTAACTAAAATTTGAGTGCAGAATGGTTAAGCGTCCATATACTCGAGAGAGGACAGCTATATAAAGAGACCTAGAAAACTATTCATGGTTCATAGGTTAATTCTGAATACTTTTAATGGATTGTACATTCCTACACCTGGTTTTACGAAGTACATTATATTCCATATAGACATGATGCCACCTGGTAGGTGAACGCATATCTTCTGCCCCGTGATGAAGCAACAAGTGATCTGATAAGGCTCTTACTGGTAACTTTTCAAAAAGATGTATTTCTCGGCTAATTGCAACATGAACAAAGCAGAATGCAGTCCAAGTATTGCTCAGAGGCCTCTCAAATCATTTTCACAGACATGCTAGGATCATATTGCAATAGAAGGATCTTCCAGTAACACAAAGTCGACTGACACATTTTACTTTCTGGGATATAAAAATCTATTTTCATACTTCTTCCTATAGAAATATGCCACAAGTAAAAAGCAATGGATTAGAGGCTAGGCAGAATCCCTTCCATATAAATGGAAGGTAAAGGGTAAAAACAGAGATGGTGGTATCTCAGCTAAAACCTTTCTTATATAGGAAGAATTTTTCCACATTCCCTTTCCCATAGCCAAGTACACCAAGTTAGTTACATTAACTAATAGGCCTTTTAAATAGCTTAAAAGAAAAAACAAACAAAAAAAAAAAATCACATCAACTTTAATCAGCATACTTCCACCTGAAGAAGAAAGCCTGAACACAGTAGGCAAAAGGAAAATCCCATTTCAAGGAAAATACTATCTCAAGTATTTATATATCATGCATTAGAGATTCCTAGAACTGAAGCGCTAACACCTGTATGCTGCTAGAAGCTTAGGCATATTGTAAATGCATTATCTGCTGCAAGCAGGATATTGGCCTATCAGACTAACTGAAAACCTGAATCTGAATAAAAGATTAAACCAGTCTTCCTCCATAATTCATTTTACATTTAAAAACAGTCCACGGTTGGATCAGTTCCTTTCAGCAAGAAAAAAGTTACAAGCCAACAAGAGTATCATAGCGATGATTCTTCCGTCTTCATCTTTTTTGTTTGTCCATTTGAACCATGTTGCAGATCCTGCCTTTTCTTTTTCTTCTGCTGTAACCTTTCCTCTTTCTTCTGTAGGTAGGTGTCCATGTCCTCAAATGAAGCCTTGTAGAGATTGCTGTAGTAGCTCTCTGCACCAACAAAACCTGCAATTGGGCAAAGCAAGAACACAGGACAAGCGTTGGTTCCCTTAGCGGTCTCATCAGTTACTTCCTGTACTGGAATTCTGGATAGTGGCATGTCATCTCATTTACTGTGGTCCTATCCACTGTTAAATATCGGCATTTACACTGTGTAAGCCTGGTTTGTGCTGGTAAGCTTCTGTTCAGCATTCACACAGCTACACATAACATTCATTTTTAAGACTAGAAAATTCATACAGAGGCAAGCACCTGATGTTGATGCAATGAGTGCATGCAGCTCTCCTTACATATAGGACGTTTGCAGACTTCAAGGCTTCTGTTTTAAAAACAACTGCTGTTGTATCTTGCTGTCAGACATCCCAGTGAGTTGTTCCCCAAGACCTAAGCACTGCAGAGGGTGTATGCTACCTAAATGTGCTTAGCTGACTTCTCTCCTACAGTATTAACTTGAAACCCCAAAAGAAGTAGACTTCAAATAGTGATGTCCTACAGCACATACACATTTTCTAAGCATTCACCCCCACAGTTTTGTTACAGCTTCTGCGAATTCAGCGTAATATTCATCACACCAACTCCAACACTGTACATTTAGACAAGCTTAATAAGGAGCTGCTATCTAAATACCCCAATCAGATTGTTTCAGCAGAGAATGGAGAACTGGACTAACTGGCTAGGTCCAAATTTCTAAATGGTACCTGACAAGCCAGCAACCTCTAGGTCTCTGTATTCCTACATTTTCCCACTTCCCAAAGTTCTTGATCTTAAAGGGCAAATGCAAGGAAATCCAGTGTTTGCCAGGGTTCGGTCCTGAAGCTAGTGTGCTACTCCACAGTAACGTACATGCAGCATCCCCTGTGTCTTGGTAGACAGACAAAACAACTTTCCCTTGCTGGAGCACAGCAAAGGGCATGTTTTTACTTTCGAGGGTCTTACGTAACCAATTTAGTTGTTGGCTTTTGGTCCTGGAAGAAATTGTGTGCTGTCAGTTTGAATATTCATGCCACTCTCTACTTGACCAGTCTGCACTAAATCTCGCTCTATCTTTTTCTGACATCAGTTATTAGAGAATGTCAAACTATTCAATGTGTACTTCGAGACTGACCTACGTGTCTTAAATCCTACAGAATCAGCAATAAGGTGAAACAAGTTTATAAAAGGGCTATATGCGGGCATTGAGACTGGGTTAAACAATATAATTATCACCTTTTTTAAAAGGAGTAACTACCTTTTCAAGCACTAATTATGCACTGGAATAAGTGCTCATCAAGTGAGCTTCCCCTTACTAATTAACAATAATAGACGCTGTCATCTAAGCAGTCCTCCTTTCCCAGCTGCAGATGCAGCCAGCTACCATCTATCACAGCAATTTGCTACACTGGCTCATTGCACTCAGAACCTTTTCCCCCCTGCCTGCTCTTTTTACTTCTCTGTTTTAAGTACAAGGTCTCATTTTCACTCAGACCTCATACTTCTAATTATACGCCTGGCTGTAGCTACCAAGTCTGCAACATCTACATGCACTCTCCCTTTCAAAGCAGTACCTGACTTCCTCTTAGATTTCAAAGACTGTACCAACTTAACAACAACTTAATGACAACTACACCCTAAACCATCCAATACTAGATATTAAGGAGACTTTACATTAAACTGTACATTCCTGCAACTCTTCTATCTCTACATATGACCAGAAAGAACAGACCACAGGACCTATGGGGACTGTAACACCTTTTTTAAGGAAGGTTCCCAGTCTCCTAGCAAAGTACAGGAAAGAATTTCAATTAATCAACTCTCAATCCATAATGAGACATCCACTTGCGCATGCTGCAACCTCTCTCTACTCTGCAGCCACCACTGCCATAATTTCCGCTTCTAAATAAAGTTAGGTGGGGTTTTTTTAAATACAAAAAAACCCTAGAACCATAGGGTGCTTCTGAACTAGTAGTATTTTTCTGCCAGAGAGTGGGTGTGGGGCAGAAGTCAAGAACAAAATGAATGAACCCTGATACCAAGCAATTTCATCTGTGATACCATCCAAGGTCACACCCTCCAGCTACAGCAAGTTCCACATAATCTACCTTGCCAAGTTGGACCCAAATGGCCCATCTTTACAGGAAAGCTGCTCCTCCCATGGCTATTCCATTCTTACTATCTCCCCTGTACTTTTGATAAAGCATCTTGCCCAGGTAAGGACAAGATGACAAGCAACAATATTCGATATCACAGCAGTAAGACAGACTCCAGCTGCTTTGTCATAGGGTGTTTACACACATCCCTGTGATAAGTTCTTTTTGTAGAACAGTTATAATGCTACAATTCAGGTCTAAATAAGTACATTGTGTTTTGATAACAGTAACCTGAAGACACTTCATGATTTGCACTAACCTCCATACCAGGTAGAGTGTGGAAACCGAGAAAACTGAAAGACTGACTTCAACAGCCAGCTAAACTGACCTGAACTCTCATCTTGCTCCTAAATCTTATGCTTTAGCTATAAAAATTGCATTTCCTGGGACTTTAGGCCAAATTTCTCACCTTCAAACACTGTCCAGTTGTCTTTAAGATATTTCATCATCTTCTGTAATCCCTTGTCATCAGTTACAGCCTGGGAAAAGAAGGGACACTGTTTATTATTCCCAGAATATCATGCAATCTCATGTTTCACAACACACTGAAAATGTAACAGCTCTCAGAGGAGTACAGTGAAAAGGAGAGCAAGTGTAAGCCCTGCAAGATCTCTTTTAGGCTCCCTTTTTCCAGGACTGCTATAGAAACCTAGCTTGAGAACATGTGTTCTGCTGAGGAAGTTTTGCAGCTTGAAGGAAAAGAAAATGGATTCCCACTTACTAATCTGTGAGGAAAAGGAATACCACAAGGAACACATAAGGGTCAAAAAACATACTTAGAAGGTTCATTTGAAACCACTTCATGACTATACCATAATTAGCTAGGGACTTACAAAGCTAAAAAATGAGTTTCCAGTTATTGAATAGGCTATTAGAGAGACCTTGACAGCATATCCCTCCAATTTGACTCCCTGTTCTCACTGAAAAAAGAATCCTCTTAATGGTCACAGAATGCCTTGTCCCCAAAGGCAGGCACAGGGAATGCTGTGTGGAAAGCATTCCACAAAGCATACCACAAAGCAAACCACAAAGGGATTTTGGGTTTTGTGGGTTTTATTTAAATACTCAGGTGTAGCACACAGAAAGCACAAGCAACGGTTGAAAGTGCAGAGTACAATGGCTGACAACCCTGCTTGATCCTGCTATGCCACATGTTAGCTTTACCAGAGAAGAGACTGGTATTCATAACAAACCCTAAGCAGCTTTGTGTTAGATGAGGAAGAGAAGTAGAATGAGATGTGTATCTGTGACTTTTACTCCACCTCAAGACATAGAGAAGTGTGCCACTTAGCTTTCGCAGAACATAGTTTACTCCATTTTTGTTATGGCCTCAAGACAACACAAAACATTCAGGATGTTAGCATAACAAAAGTATCCACCTTCCACTGTCCATCACATGGTCTGTACAATTGAAGAGGAGCTTCACTGTCTTCCTGTAAAATCCATAGGTCTCCTGTTTCTTCAAATGCAATGTCCCAACCTTTATGTTTCAAAGAGATTTGCTGCTTGTAAACTAGCTGCTTGGCAACGGCATCAAGCTGAAAGATGTAGACTGTGGGAATACTTTTGAAAGGAAAAACTTAATTACCATTATTACCAAATCCACCTACAGCCATTACTTGTACAGCAAACTACAAACACCCACTCTAATTCCAAACAGAGCCAAAGCAAGGCCATTAGGAACTGCAAAAAATACCCTAGCACTTCAAGTGCAGTCTGCTTACATGATCGGAGGCAAAAGCTGTAAATACCTAATACATGAAATGGCTTTTCAAATGTTATATGAAAGAAAAAACAGTCAACTCTGTCTTCTCTCAAAAAAAAAAAAAAAAGGTAGTAAAGGAAATTTCATATGGCTTACTATATATGAGTGTTGCATCATAGGCACAGTGGCCTATAGAGCTTCACTTGAAGGAATATGTAGCTGAGCACCAGTCAAAAACAAAACAGTAAAGGAACTGCATGCAACAGAGTGGAAGAGAGAATGAGAAGGACAGGAAACCTTGACTTGGCTGAAGAACAGCACTGCACTCATCTCTACCTCTCCCACCAGCACTCATTCCTCTAGCAGCCACAGACCCTATGTGCAGAGCTTCCTAACCTCCCTCAGACAGGTCCCCAGTGTGCCAAGGCAGGACAGCTGAGCTCCCTTCCAAGTGGTTTACCAGGTCCACAGGACAGCACTGTTTAGACACACTGGGCCATGAAGCTGGAAATAAATGCCTGACGCAGAGCATGGGGAGGCCCCTGGGCTAAGTGACATGGGCACAGCCCTCAGCTGACATGGCTTCCCCTTCTGGGGCCAGTTTGGGTGCCCATGCAGAAGTCACAATGGGAAGCACTTAGGCTCCTTGCTCTGGTGAAGAGAAAATCCACTGAGGGGACAGTTGGCCAATTTCATTGTACAGGCAGCTCTGGCAATTGCTCCCTTTCCTGCTGGCAAGCTTTGTCAGGAAGAAAGCTTCCTTGTCAGGCTTAAGATGCTGTGGAGAGAGGAAGAGGGCTTGTCCATCCCTGCAAGACAATTCCCTGCCAGCTTAAATCCTTCAGCTCCTGAGCACTCTCTCCTTACACAAGACGTACATTTGAACCCAAAAGTCAATGTAGCCTCCTCACAATATTAAACTGAAGCAATGTTGTGATTTTAAACAGAATGGCCAAATTCATTCACGGGAGCAGAACATAGCAGCAGAAGTTTGGCCACTGCATCACCACAGCACCCTGAACAAAACAGGACACAAAACACACGGGTCAAGCACAGCAATTTAGGGAGACATCCTGAGCACCAAGCAGGGCTCACATGCATCCTAAGCTTTGCATTTCCTCCTCGGAGGGAAAGGCATCACAAAGTCTGCAAAATTTAAATAAGCTAAGCTGGGTAATCCTTGCACTCACCTCTGCACTCAGACCAAGTACAGTGAGGACTCAGAGGCTCCCAGTGAGGCCACAGGCATGCCTGGGATGCTCAAAGGTCCACAGTACCAAGTACTGCAGGCTAGAGAAAAGTTAGGGCAGCCAACAGGGAAAGCTGCTCTTGTCTTTGCAAGGAGCTGTGACAATTTTAGCCGTTACTTCATTTATTCTTACCAGTCACATAGAATGGCAACATAACCACCTTGACAGCAGTAGGTTATTCTTGACACAGTGTATTTCTATTACGAAAAGAAAAAGAAATATCCTTGTAAGTTGAGACTATTTTCGGGCAGAAAATTCATATTCCATTTCATGTCTTGGCCTTTAAAATTTAGCAGATGTATTAATTTACATCAAGTTAAGCAACATAATTACCTTTAAACTGCAGTCAAGTGTATTTTTGTACCAGTGTTTGCTATTTTATTAAGTTTTCCATACTTCTCCCTTCACAGCCATCCAAACAGAGGTCAAATGTAAAGGTTTTAGTGAAGTACTCTTAATAGACAAACTAACAGTTGAAGGAAAAGTATACCACCCTCAAACATTCTCTCCTGCAATCCTAATGGCAAAATCATCAACATTAAGCCTGCACAGCCAGGATATCACACTTGCAGCTTAGAGATTATAAACACAAGCCACTAGCTGCTTTAAAAAAAGGAGACAGTGATGCATAGCTAATATCCTTGCTGCACTGTCTCTGTTTTCAACATGTGTCTGGGTGAAGCCACACCACTTAACAGAAAACATGTTCTGAAGAACAAAGCAAGACTGCCAGAGGCCATTTTCCTCATAAAAAACAAAACCACACAAAAAAAATCCCACATACAACAACAATAAAAAAATACTCACACCACACTCCCACTTTAGAAGATATACTGTTTTCTCTGTCTGGGAGAGAATCAGAGAAATATCTTTGCTAAACACCATACTACTTGAAATATTAATAACTGATTTGAGGCTCCTCGAGTGGGAAGTAAGAACTTGGGAGGAGCAGAGAAACTGCAAGAAGATGCCCTAGGGTGCTTTTACAAAAGTGGCTGTTACATAACGTGAAAGACAAAACTGCAAAGGCAGAAGACTAGTTCTCAAGTATATTTTAGAAGTAGCAATAACACCAGCACTGCTTACTAGTAAAACCTTCCAACTAGAGAAGTAGGTAGTTATTCCCTTTAGGGCAGGGAAAATGCATCATCTTGGTGCTCTGCTGGCAGAACTCAGATGCATCTTCAAGCCCCTCTCAAGCCCTCCCCTCTTTACCTAACGTGACACTGGTCACTATACAGAACTTCTGTTTCACCAGCTTAAGCAGAGTTTGGGAGTAACCACGGGATTTTACCCTTTGAGCTACCAGCTGTCACACAGGCATTGCCAGGCTGCTTGTTTTGGAATGTTGCAATCAGTGTAGGAAAGCAAAACAAGCTGTACAGCTCCCAAACATTCAAGTCAGCAAGTTTTAATACCAGAAGCTATTCTGTCAACAGTACATGATGCAACTACTAAAAGATAAACCAACTGCAGAAAAGTTAGTTAATTAATGGTATAAATATAGCTGCGTAACTATAAATATGCACTGTGCAACCTTGATTTTCATTTATATTTATATCATACCATGAGAAAAAAAATAAAATCCATTGTGTCATGCTATCTCACGGGGTGAAGCAAGAACAGCAGCATGCACACACTTATCACTCACGTACTTGATTGCCTGTTTGGACAAAAGAGGAGCTCTTTATGAAAATTATCAAAAGGGTGATGTGTTTCAGAGCCCTTGGGAAACACGTGGGACTAATCTCTCACTACTCTGCAGAAATAGCAAGTTGTTAGTCCATATTTAGTATCAGGATCCAGGATCCCTGTTTCACACAGACATAAAAAATGTTTACAGTTCCAAACACCAGGTAGGATAAGTGGGCTGAATCTCTCTGTAGATATTACATCTAAATGTAGTTATTGCACTACGGAGCCATTTACACCATAGCTTTATGAGTAGAACTGACAACTCTTATCGTAAATCACCAGTAGGCTCTTTAGGTATTTAAGGGAACAAGTTGAGATACATATATATAAACCTCAAACCTGAGGTATTTATTTCTCATAACAGAGCTCTGCCTCTCTGCCTGTGTCATGACAAACACACAGGGTAAATGCAGTGATGGGAAGTGCCCACCTACACAGTTAAGTGCTTTGTCAGAGAGACAAAGGGTTCTGTGAACTTGAAGTATGCAGCAGCTCTCCTCCACCCTCACTGGGGGAAGGAGAAGTAGGCTTTTTGATTTGAACCAAGTGTTATTCACAGCTGGACAGAGACAAGAAAGGACATCTTCTTTGCAAGCTCTTTCCTTTCCATGCGTGGGTAAGTCAACTATAAGCACAATGAATGCAAGCCTCAGAGCAGTATCTTGTTCAAGGACAAGCCTACGAAATCAGTTAACTTCAAGAAAGGCTATAAGAGCTGTCCATGATAAACAGATAAACAGTTCACTTGATACTCTCTGAACTTATTCAGCATTTATGACACTTACCAGCCTGCCAACACCTTAAAATTAACTTCTGATATCATCTGTGAGAAGGGGTGACCCTACGAAAAATTAATGCACTGGACTACTGGGGTAGAGTTGTGCAATTCATATTCTGGACTTTAAACAAATTTCTGCTGTGAAGAGGATTGCATAAGGTGAAGGCTCCAAAGCAGGAAAAATATAACACTATGAATTTAGAGAATTACTCCCATTCTAGTGGGAAAATGAACCGAGGATCTGCAATCCAGCAATTGAAACCAATGCTACACTGCTCAGAAATACTCCAAGTTCCCCAAACAGACATATATTCATCATCTGCCAAGCAAAATAAGCCCACATTTATGTGCTCACATGACACACCATTACTGGCGATGCCATTATCATTGTGCTTCGAGTTGTGTTTCATGCTTCAGTGCATTCACAGCAGTTATCAATGGTAAAAATGAAATGCAAAACAAAAGCAAAGAAAAATCACTTAAATCCCCATCTGATCTCTGGCTGCCAGTCATTTGTAGACAGCATGCTAATTACAACCTAAAAAGTGCTGATTCAAGAGATTGTTTGCTTAAATTCAGTCTACAAATGCCACTCTTGGTTGTGAAGATGATCTCTGATACAGCTGGATGCACAGCACGACCGAATACTACTAGCAGACATCATCTCTGGCATTTCTAAAACTATGATGCCAGCAAAACACAAGTCTCTTTTCCCCTTTGGTCCTGCTGACCACAGAGAAAGTACATATTCACAGCTGTGCAGCAATACAACACAAAGGTAGCAACACACCACATTAGGGTTTAAATCTGCTATCTGCCTGTAATTGCTGGGACAAGATGCCTGATAACTGTTGATGAGTCAACAGAGAGCTTATGGATCAGG